ATATATAAAGTAATTTTCCCACGGCACACCTTACACTATGTCACGGCACACTAGTGTGCCGCGGCACAGTGGTTGAAAAACACTGGACTAGGGTATGTCTAATTTAAACACTCATCTATCCAGATCCGTAATCTGTAACTAAGGAAATAAACTGGATTCTAACAGGATGATTGTGTCTGAATGTTTTTGAAACTTAAAAAAAGTTGATTGTTTAAAGAGCCTCCGGGTTGAAAGGAGTGCGTGACATCACCTTTGCCCAGGGATACCCCAGGGGTGGGGGGCGGGAGGCTCATTTTATATCCCTGCAAGGAGTTCACCCCGACATGCAGGAGGTCTCCGGTTTTGAACCCAGTCTTCTAACCACGTGAGCCACCCTGCTCCAGTCCATAATGGTGAGAAAAATGGAAAAAGGAGCTTATGACCAACAGCAAGATGGACAGGCTCATGTTACTGGAGTGATGGGGGAAGGACTAAAGGACCAGATCAGAGATAAATTGGGAGAAAGACTTAGGATAACTTTAAACCTTACTGAATGCATTCAAGAACGCATGACTAGAGGGGCATCAATAGAATACATATCTCCTTATGAGAATAGTAAAACCCAATTTGTTTACAAAAGCCACGTCCAAAATGCAAGACTTAATTACTGAGGAGGCTGTAATTCGAAAAAAATTTGACTGCCGAAATGGTTAGATAAACCTTCAAAAGTCAGGACTTAATTCCTTTTAATTAGCAATGCTTCCCCAGTGCGCATGCGGAGCGTGGACTTCTTTCCCCCGCTTCCTTCCCGTTATGTCTCTACTCCAGGCTCTTCCCGCATGCGCACTAATGTCTTCCCAGCTATACGATTGCAAGGGAGAAAAAAAAAAACCACGTCGTTTTCCTGAGGCTTTTTTTTTGTCCCTTGCCAGCGCTCGTCCGCCGACGCATGCGCCCTTTTTTGTTTTCTTCCTCAGGCACCTCCCCTTGCTCAGGCTCCTCCCCCAAGCCTCCATCCGTTTCCTGTCAGGAGCGGATGGCCGAGGCTGGGCCCGGCTCGGAGCGGGCCGTCTTCGCTGAGCATCGGCGGACGCTTCGTTCGCGCGCTCCGGCTTCCTGAGAGCCGACGCGAGAAGGCGTAACAAAAGAAAAGAAAGAAAAAGGTAACCAGCCGGGGCCGCGTTTAGGCGGCTTAGGCCGCGCTAAAAAGAACGTTACGGTTCCCACTCCCCCCCCCCCACTACGAGCGCATCCATCCCATGCGTCGCGCGCGCCTGCTGAGAGAAATAACGGGAAGCGGCAAAAGCCAAAAAGGTGACGTTGGGGGATAGGCGAACGGGGGTTTTTTTTTTTTTTTTTTACTATCTATGGAAGGCACGTTTGCTGGACTCCTTTCGGGGCTGTTTGCTCGTCCTCTCCCTCTGCATCTTTTTTTTAGGGTGAACGGCCACGATTAACGGTCCTTCTCTGGTCCAACAGGCTGCTGAGGTCTCTTAAAGGATAGATATAGGATGCCCTGTTGGATAATGGATCAGTCAATGGACAGTAGCTGAGTATCAGCAGGCACAGTGAAGTAGGATTAAAATGAAATAAGGTACAGCGGAAGCCGACAGTGAGATCAAATAGGATGAAAGCTAGTAGGTAAGATAAAGAGAAGGTAAAAAAAAAAAGTGAGATCAAATAGTATAAGGCGAAGGAGGAGAAGGAGGGATGGAAAGAAGAGAAGAAGACTTTATTGAGTCAATGGAATGTATCAATGATGAGCATCAACAGGCACAGTGAAGTGGAATTAAAATGAAATAAGATACAGTGAAGGAGGGGGGAAGAGATGAAACGGCCGACAGTGATATAAAATAGGATAAAAGGTAGCAAGGAAGATAAAGGGAAGGCAAAAGCAGTAAGATCAAATGGAATAATGCATGGAAACTGACCAAGGAGAGATTCAACCTGGAAATAAGAGAATTTTTCTGACAGTGAGAACAATCAACCAACGGGACAGAAGTTGCCTTCGGAAGTTGTGGGAGCTTCATCATTGAGGCTTTTAAGAAGAGGCTGGGCCGGCCTTTGTCAGAAATGGTGTAGAGTCTCCTGCTTGGGCGAAGGGTTGGACTAGATGATCTACAAGGTCCCTTCCAACTGTTAATCTGAAACAGAAGAAAAACTTTATTTTAAGTCGATGGACCTTATCAAAGAAGAGCATCAGCCGCAGTGAAGTAGAATTAAAATGAAATAAGATACAGTGAAGGGGAGACAGATAAAAACAGCCTACGGTGAGATAAAATAGGATAAAAGGTAGCAGGTAAGTTAAAGAGAAGGTTAGAAAAAGTGAGATCAAATAGTATAAAGGGAAGGAGGAGAAAAGGAAAGGAGGAAGGATGGAAAGAAAAGGATGGAAGGAGGAGAAGAAAACTTTATTAAGTCAATGAACCGTATGAAGGATGAGAATCAGGCAGAGTAAAATAGAATAAAATGAGATAAGATAGAGTGAAGGAAGATAGAGCAGCTACAGTGAGATAAAATTTTATAAAATGTATTAGGTAAGATAAAGTGAAGATAAAAGATCAAATAATAGAAGCAGAAAGAGACTTTGTTAATTAAATGTTTATTTAATTAAGTATTAATTTTCTGACAGTTAAAACAATTAACCAGTGGAACAACTTGCCTCCAGAAGTTGTGAATGCTCCAACACTGGAGGTTTTTAAGAAAATGTTGGATTTGTCTGAAGTGGTATAGCTCCTGCCTTGACAGGGGCTTGGACTAGAAGACCTCCAAGGTCCCTTCTAACTCTATTATAATATTCTACCATATCAAAGATGAGCATCAGGCACAGTAAAATAGAATAAAATCAGATGAGATATGTGATATAAAATAGCTGCAGTGAGATAAAGCAGGATAAAATGTAAGATAAAGTAAAGATAAGAGTTCACGTAGTATAAGGTGAAATAGAAGAAGGGAGCTTTATTAAGTCAATTGACTGTAGCCAACTAATACAAAAAAGCAAATAGGTAAAAAGAAAATGAAACTTCACAATATATCATCACTCTTACAGTTATCTCGTGTTTGATCAAGGTGTTGTGTCTGATTTGAGCTGGCCTTTGAAACAAAGAGCACAGTCTTTTTGATGATGTGTTGTTTGTTCCCTGCCAGAAGTAAGACTGTTTCTCCTGATGCCCCGTTATTTTTTTAGTTTTTTAAATAAGGGTTTAAATGGGCTGCCCTTTCTGGAGAGTGCTATTTGCAATTGAAAAGGATGCGTCCAGTATCTTCAATTGGCTGGAAGGTTGCTTTAATAAAATGTTTCTGTGTATTTATTTGATTGGGAAGAGATGTTTCCAGTTAGGAAGATGGGTGCTACCGAATTAGATTTGATTTCTTGGACAAATGCTTATCAGTCCATAGTTCTCCCAAGATTTTGCCTATACTTTGTGTTATCTGCCTCAACTGTTTTCTCAATGATCATACCTGTCAAGTATAATAATTCTTAAAATCCAAAAGCTTTTCATAAAAGAAATTCCTTTTCTTTTCCCCTCTTAATCTCTTTGAGAATAGAATAGACTAGAACAGAACTTTATTGTCACTTTAAATGTACACTAATCAGCATACATTAAAATAAAATTTCATTGTGTTCAGCTCTCAAAGGATAACCATTATGCATATACCCACATACACACACACTTATGACACAGAGAAACATTACAGTTTAGTTCGAATGTGCACACACACACACACACACACAGAGTGAAAAAATAATCTTGTGAGTTTACTGGACGGATGGCATAGGGTTCCAGAATCTGGAAGTCCTGCTAGAAATACTTTGAATTCTCTCCCCCCAGAGAGGAGCAACAGAAACAGACCTTAAAGTGGGTGTGTGCGGTCTCTTAACAATGCTTCGAGCTCTAAGCTCATAGTGCTTATAAGCAGTATCCTGAATAAAATGAAGTGAGCTTCCTATAATCTTCTCTGCTGTCCTCAATACTCTTTGTAGGGACTTTCTATCTGTGGAATTGTAGGAAGCGATGGTCAATTGCCCTAACAAGGAATTTGGTGTCAGTTTCCCCCCTAATGGAACTTTTTGCCTCCCGTCTTCTTTTAGAATTCGAGACCGCTGTCAGCGCGATAATGCACCATGGGACCGGTTCACAGAATGCACAGCGCCAGCTCCAGAGGTCTCGATCCTTCACCGGCAGTGAGAGTGAAGACCAGCAGGCCAATTTACCACAGTCCCCGGCTCCTTCTTTTGCTCCTTCGGCCAGCCCTTCTGCCCCTCAGTCTCCTGGCTACCAAATCCAGCAGTTTATCATGAGCCGAAGCCCGGTGGCAGGGCAGAACGTCAACATCACCTTGCAGAACGTGGGACCTGTTTCTACCGCCAATCAGCAGATCACCCTGACCCCGTTGCCCATCCCGAGCCCAACTTCCCCCAGTTTTCAGTTCAGTCCTCAACAAAGACGGTTCGATCATGGCTCGCCCTCCTACATCCAGGTCACTTCTCCGTTGCCCCCTCAGGTTCAGTCGCAGAGCCCCACCCAGCCCAGCCCGGTGTCCGTTCAGACCATTTCAAGCGTCCGAGCGGGCACCCCGGGTCCCGGCTTGGGCATGTGCAGCCAGAGCCCAACGCGAGGCTTTGTGGACGCCAGTGTGTTGGTGAGGCAGATCAGCCTGAGCCCTTCCAACGGCGGGCACTTCGTGTACCAGGAAGGGTCGGGCCTCACCCAGATCGCTCAAAGCGCCACGGCTCAGGTCCAGCTTTCATCCTCCGGCACCTCGTCGACCGTCCGAGAGCGCCGACTGTCCCAGCCCCATTCTCAAACAGGAGGGACCATCCACCATCTTGGACCTCAGAGCCCCGTGGCTAGCGGAGGAAATATCCAAGGTTTGCCTAACTCTGGTCACATTACCACCAGCAACCTGCCGCCACAGATCAGCAACATTATCCAAGGGATGCAGCAACAGCAGCAACAGCAGCAGGGGCAGCCTCCCAACAGACCTTTGGGCTTCGACAGGAGTTCTGCCGGATTAATTGCTGGGGTGGGAGGCCCCGCTTTCGGCATCACCTCTCCACCGCCCCCCACAAGCCCTTCCCGGGCCAGCATCCCTCAAGGGCTCACCGGCCACTCGCTGGCCCCCTCGGTCTGCACCGTGGTGAAAAAAACCAAAAAAGTCGAGGAAATCCCGCCGGCCACTCCGGAAGCGGCTCAGATGAGGAAGCAGTGCCTGGAGCACCACTTCAAGCAGATGGAGGCTCTGAAAGACGCTTTCAAAGAGTACTTGGTCGAGTTGTTTTTCCTGCAACACCTGCAAGGGAACATGATGGACTTCTTGGCCTTTAAGAAGAAGCATTGCCTGCCGCTGCAGGCCTACCTTCGGCAGAACGACTTGGATCTGGAGGAGGAGGAGGAGGAAGAGCAGTCGGAGGTCATCAACGACGAGGTAGGAGCTCCTCTTCGCGCACCTGGGTTAAAAACCGTTAGCTCGTGTTTTCCAAGGCTCTGCCCCCCTAAAACGAAGTTGGATTAGAATTTTGTGATGGAGAAAACATTTTAGGAATCTAGATTGTGTGGCTGGTCCAGCAGGGAATGCATCAAGTCTGCAACGTGAGCTCTGAATGACCTGCGTTAGCACGCGTGTTAACACAAATAAGGGATGGGAGGTGTTCGTTTTGGATCGGGGTAAATGTATAAAACGTAAATGCATATACCAGTGGTCCCCAAACTGGGGCCCAGGCCTCACACGGGGGGAATTATATTTTTAATATTTGAGCCTTGTTTGAACCAAGTTAATGGCCTTTTAGGCTTCCTCCATGTGAGTAGAGTTCACCTTTTGAGCAAAGTAAGAATTTCATGTCACGGAGGGGGGTGGGCATCAGGATTTTAAAGATGCTTAGGTGAGACATGGCCAAAAAAAGGTTAGGAACCACAGGAATATGTATATATTAGGGTAAATGCATAGACAAGGGACGCGGTGGCTCAGTGGCTAAGACATTGAGCTTGTCAATCAGAAAGGTCGGCAGTTCAAATCCCGAGCGCTGCGTAATGGAGTGAGCTCCCGTTACTTGTCCCAGCTTCTGCCAACCTAACTGTTCGAAAGCACGTAAAAAATGCAAGTAGAAAAATAGGAACCACCTTTGGTGGGAAGCTAACAGCGTTCCGTGCACCTTTGGCATTGAGTCATGCCGGTCACATGACCATGGAGACGTCTCTGGACAGAGCTAGCTCTTCGGCTTTGAAATGGAGATGAGCATCGCCCCCTAGAGTCAGGAACGACTAGCACATATGTGCGAGGGGAACCTTTACCTGACACAAATAAGGGATGCAAGGTGTTCGTTTCGGATTGGGGTAAATGGATAGAAGTGTCTCTCTCCATTCATCTTTGAAGGGTCGTAAAATGGGGAAGTGGAAACTCCAAGAAAATGGAAAAGTTTCTTTCTGAGTGGTGCTCTTTTCTTCAGCGAAATCGCAGAACTGCAAGCGAGATTGATGAAATCGTCCTTTGCAGGAGTTAGAACTGAGCTTGAAATCGTTTTAAGTCTTGGGTTTTGCTTCACTTTGTCCACCTCACTTTGTGATCTGAGATTTTCTTCTAGATATCACTCAGAAAGTTCTTATCGGAAAAGACCGTTTTAATAAGAAATCTGTTGTGGTGGGCCGTTGATTTATACTTGCACTCTCAAGTATAGAGAAAAAGGTGCAGGAATTTTATCCAGTTTTGTGGCTTCCCCGTCCCCCCCCAAAAAACTTTTGCTGACAAAAATATATATTAAATATCACTTGACGGAACCTCGATGTGATTTTTGGATCCTGACTCATGTCCCTTGGTTATGTGTTTCAAAAGTTGCAAATTGGTTTCCCCCAATCCAGTATTTTGTTTGATCGTTTTCCTGAAAATGTCCAATTTCCAGCTTTCTTTTTCTGAAAATAAAAAAATTCTAATGTAATTCTTTCCATACCCTTTTGGAATTTAGGGAAACTTCTTGTTAGGTAATTGTATACAGAATTGCAATCAAAAGAAGTTACAATTGAGAATTGCAACCTAAAGTTTTAAAAATGTTGTCCATATTTTATAAACTGGTGTTTGTTTAACTGCATAAACTTTGCCAATCTTTTATTCTGAATGGTGAGTTAATCTTTATGCAATTCCACACCTTTATTGAGAGAGAAAATGAAATCTATGATTGGAATTTTGTTAATAGTTGATGTCCTACAATTCCAGTTTGGAGTGACATCTGTTTAACAGAAAGTTGATTTCTGTTTTTTTTTTTTAAAGCTTTGTAAATTGACTCAATTGCTGTTTAACTTTATTAAAAATATAGAATATATGGGTTTGGACTCGCAAGTACCATTTCCTCAGAGAGGTTTAAATTATGGCCGATTTGGTTTTAATAAAAAGCAGTGAGTATAATTGCAGCGTTAGTAAATTAATAGAATGTTTGCTTCATCCACATGATAATGACTGTGTTCCTAAAAGAACTAGGGATGTTGAATGGAGAGCAGGCATTTCAAATTAGATGGATTGTTCATTAGGCATAATAAATATTCAGAAGGCAGTTAAGCGCTGCACCTCCATCACACAGGAAATTAATTATTTTGTACTGCTGGATTAATCCCCATAAAGTCAGGAGAAGCTACCCCATCGATGCAACGTTCCTTTGTTTGATTTTAAACTTTTAAGATTTAGGCAAAGGCTCCACGTTTTAAAAGCAGGTATTATTGAGAAAGTCCTTTTAAAATCTGTTCACTTGAAAAAGGTGAGGTGCAGCAAAAAATAAAAAAAATAAAAATCTCATCGCTTTTCTGGACAAAATAAGACTGTTTTCAGTTCATAGTGACAATTTAAAAGGTGGGCTTTTAACTGTCTCCTCCGAGGTATCTTTTTTAATGGTCCATTTAAATGTATGCAGTTGTTGGGTTTTCTTGTGACACACAGGCGTTTGCTTCTCCTTTTTAAATCTGCAAGTAATCTTTATTGGATGTAGTTGTTATTTAGTCGGACTGGGCAAATATGTTTGGTCTCTAGGCTCCTCACTGAGATATCCAGCTAAATGTTTCTTACACCTTTATCCTCATTTTGAGAAATCTGTTTGTAGTGTCCGTAAGGGGGAGTCAAAAATTGGTCTAAGTGAATTTAGGAAAGATAGAAGGGAATATTTGTAGCTCAGGGTTGAACTGTGGTGTCCTCGGTGCTCTCTGAGCTTGGTTGTTTTCTTGCAGACGTTTCATTACCCAAGTAGGGAACATCATCAGCGTTAGAAGGGAGAGGCGTTCATTCTCTTTTTATCTACTAGTCGCTTGCCCTGTCTGTGTTGGTGGGAACGTCCTTGGTGGCTTCTTGATTTGGCTGTTGTTTACCAACAATCAAGCTCTATATGCCATCTGGATAGGTAAATCCATGGTTAAACCACTTAACACTGAGATAATCATCACATCTGAATGTTTTCGCTCATACACACACACACACACACAAACACACACTCACACTCACACACACACTATTATGGATACTTAAGTTGGCTGGTGATTTTGGGCACGGGGCTGCCTGAGCAAGTCATGAAGGATTGGAAGGGTGGGGGGGGAAGGTGGCACGCAATTTGTTAGGGCATGTGAGGCTTTGCCCTGTCAGCTCCAGCACCCTGGCTTCAGTCTTCATTTTCAGCCATTTTTCGCCTTCCGGAGCTTTCAGGGAAGCCTTCTGAATACAGGTCCATTCCTGAACTTCCGGTTTCCCCATAGATCTGTTTTTCACACTTCAGGATGGTGGGGGGGCAGGGGAGGCTGTTTTCACCCACCCCAGGTTCGTAGAAAGCCTCTGGAGCCTGGGGAGAGCAAAAAACATGTCCATTGCGTGCCAAAAGCGGTGGGGGTCACCTGCATATGTGGGTGGGGGGTGTTTGTGCTCCCACCCGCTTTTGGCGCACGATGGGAAAAAGGTTAGCCATCATTACCCCAAGGGGAATCCCCAAAGGAAAGAGCCTCTAAAACAGGGACGCCCCTTTAAGACTTGTGGACTTCAGCTCCCAGAATTCCACCTGGCTGGGGAATTCTGGGAGTGGAAGTCCATAAGTCTTAAAAGAGGCCAAGGGTTTGGATACCCTTACTTTAAAACCTAGAGAACCAAGACCAGAAGGGCTTCCTTGTAGGGAAGCAGCTGGCTCAAAGCAAACCCTGGGGTCACCATGGACCCTTAACCTGTCCCTCAGAGGTAGACTGGACCCCAGGGGCGTTTTATCAAGGGCTAGAAATGAAAGGCTCCATCCAAGACAACCATCAACCCAATCAAGGAACGATCAACCTAGACAAAGAATCAAACTGTAAACAACAACCTCATCAAGGAACCACCCCTCTCACCAACACTGACAGAGTAAGCCACTAGTATACAGATTTACGACACTCAATTTACGACACTTCATTTAGTGATTGTTCAAAGTTAAAATGGCACTGAAAAAAGTGACCTATTGATCATGCGATCAGAATTCAGACGCCTTACGAACTTGCCAACTACAGTGATTCCCTTAACAACGATGGCAAGAAAGGTCGTAAAACGGGACAAAGCTCACTTAACAACTGTCCCCCTTAACAACAGAAATGTTGGGCTCCGTTGTGGTCATAAGTAGAAGACTAGCCGTGTACAAAAGAGAGTGAACTCCGCTCCCTTTGTCATCCAGATGATGTTACCTAGTCGGGTCGCGAGGCGTCTCCAAGCTAGCCGCCGAGCTCAGAGAGCGCCAAGGACCCAACAGGGTTTCGGAAAAGCTTTCACAAAATCCACGAAGCACCCAACTTGTCTGATCAGCCAAGGATAAGTGTGCGGCACATTGACACCTAAGGTATTCCAGTGTCTCTTCCTTCACTCTGCATATTGTAACGTCCTTCTCTTCTTCACCATCTTCTGCTAAGCTAAAGCAACGCACCTCATCGCTCGCCTTGGTTGTGGGAATGGTGACGGGTGGTGGGAACGGGAGGTGTACACTCATTGCTTAATAAATGTCTAGGGGCTTCTTCTGAGTGTCAACTGTCTGTCACGCTAATGTTGTTTGTTAGAAAGCCAAGGTCTCAAGACTTTAACCCACGCTAATGTCTACATGCAATTTCAATTTAGAACTTTTTGCATGGCCAGAGGGTGAAAAAAAATTGCTGCTATCTTGTCCCTCACTCTGTTTTGATAGATAACAAAAAAAACACCAAACCCCACAACAAAACTTTGCCTTCCTTCGCAAAAAAAGAGACTCTTTTAAACAAAAATAATCAAGAGTTAAATGAAGTTTTGTCTCAACCCCATTGGTAGAATGCAAAGCGGGATGCTTTGATCCTATTTTTCTTTTTTGGAATTAAAAAAAAGAGAGAGAATGAAAGAAAAAAATGATTTCCCTTTTTGTTCCCTCCCTCCTTCCCAAAATATCTTCTCTCAGGTAAAGGTTGTGACAGGAAAGGATGGGCAGACTGGTACTCCTGTTGCTATAGCAACCCAGCTTCCTCCAAATGTTTCTGCTGCTTTTTCAACTCAGCAGCAACCGTTTCAGGTACTTTTTCAATGGATTTAAAAACTCTTCAGTTTCATCCCAGATGATGATGATGATGATATTAATAATAACAATGATCATTTTGGCTCAGTCAGATTTGGTAACCGAAAGTTAAGTCTGTTTCCTCCCCCCACATCCTTCCTTCCTCCCAACAGCCCATCCCTTCTTCTCATTTTAGAAAAATGAGCAGTAAAAACATTTGAACTTTTCAAATGCATGAGTGGGGAATACCAAGAATGATTTTATTTATTTTATTTTATTTTATTTATCTTGTCTCAAAGTTGCTGGCTGATTTCATTAACTTTCAGCTTTTAACGTGTTCCACTTTGGTTTGCTTGTCCTTTGGTCCCTTTGTATGTTCTACCTGGTAACTGTGGGTCTCTCTCTGTATGTCTCTCTCTCTCTTTTTCTCTCTCTCTCTGTGGGATCTTTCTACAAAATATTTTTTGGGGAGTTCGGCGGTGGTCGTCAAAAGCTAACCTACAAAAATGACAAGTTTGCAACCGTGCTTTCCCTTCTTTCTGGTTCAGATGGAGTTAGCACACTTTACAGCAGCGGTCACCAACTGGTGGACTACCAGTGGTCCGTGAGAAAAGTTTGGTGGGCCACAGAAAAATTATTTGAATTTTTAAATAGTGCGCTAAACGCTATTTATCTATTTAAAAAAAATTCCAATTAGTGGTCCGTGGGATTTAAAATTATTAGGAATTTAGTGGTCCCTGAGGTCCGAACGGTTGGTGACCTCTGCTTTATAGAGTCCAGCGGCATGCTAATTTATCGAGAAATGTATGCATTACAGGATTAATTGTCAGTGCTATGAAGCAAGCATGGGGTTTGCGGCATGTGAATCAGTAATACCTTGATCCAGTACTAATGACAAATCATGGTTGAGTGTTACAAAAAGGAGACTTCAAACCTAGGACTTAGGCCAGTGATGGTGAATCTTTTCGGCACTGAGTGCCCAAACCAGAACGTGAGTGCATGGATGTGCATGTGCGTGTGCCAGAAATCCAAGGCCGGAGCGTGCACGTCTGTTTTTTGGCTGGTTTTCACTGTTTTTAGGCCATTTTCCGAGCCATTTTGGAGTCATTTTCAGGGCCATTTCAGGAAAACCAGCCTGAAAATAGCCTGGAAAATAGCCCAAAACACCTGCCTGTTTTTTGGGCTGTTTTCCGGTGCTCCAGCCCACATGAAGACCAGCTGGTCAATGTGTATGTATGTGCTGGAAACCAGATAACGCGTGTGCCCACAGAGACGGCTCTGCATGCGACCTCTGGCCACAGTTTTGCCACAGGTTCACCATTACGGACTTAGGCGTTTATTCTTCCTGCAACCGGAGGTGGATAGCTTTGGCGTTTAGATTTTAGGCAAAGAAGCTCTCAAACTTTGTTTGCTCTGAGGCCAGAGAGATTCAGTAGTCCTCGAGCTAACGACCATTCGTTTAGCAACCATTCAAAGTTCCAACGGCGCGGGGGAAACAAAAAGTGACCGAGGATCGTTTTTCCACACTTAACGACCATCGCAGCATTCCCCAGAATCACGTGATCAAAATTCAGGTGCTGGGCCACCGCTTCATATTTATGACCGTTGTTGGAGGGTCCCCGAGGTCACGCGATCCCTTTGGCAACCTTCCGGCCGGCAGAGCCAGTGGGGAAGCCTGATTCACTTAACAATCCACGGGACTAACTTTAACAAACGCAACGGCTTGCTTAATGACGGTGGCAAGGAAGGAGGTAAAATGGGGCGAAATTCACTTCTCTGCTTCGCTTAGCAGCAGGGATTTAGGGCTGAAATGTGGCCGTAGGTCGAGGACTACCTGTGTTTGGCTTTTTGAGACCAGGAGTGGAGTGGAGTGCATTCCCAAAAGGAGCGCCTTTGCATGTCCACAAGCATGATCAGGCATGAAATGTCCATTTCCTGTCCTTTCCAAAAACCCCACCCGATGTTGGTCTATTCTCCCTACAGGACAGCGTTGGTGAACCTTTTCGGCACCAAGTGCCCAAACCAGAACGTGTGTGCATGCACGCTGGCCAGCTGGTCTTCATAGGCGCAGGAGCCAAACTATTGCCTGAAAAATGGCAAAAAAATCCAGGTCATATTTTAGGCCAAAAATGGCCGAAAAACAGTCTGAAAACAGTCTGAAAAACAGCCTGAAAATGGCCCACAAAACAGGCTGGTTTTCCGGCTGTTTTCAGGCCACTTATTGGGCCATTTATTGGCTAAAAAAAGGCTGAAAACAGCCTGAAAATGGTCCACAAAACAGTCTGTTTTTGGGGCTGCTTTCAGGTCATTTTTGGGGTCACAAATGGCCTGAAAATTGTCTGGTAAAGAGCCTGGTTTTGGGGTGTTTTGGGGGCCATTTTCTAGCACTCCAGTGCCTGCAAAGTTTAGTTTAGTTTAGTTTTATTGGGCTTGTATGCCGCCCTATTCCCCGAGGGGACTCAGGGCGGCTAACAAACTAAATAGGGGAAAGGGGAAGTACAAAAAAACCCCCAAAAGACAGACAAATACGAACAGATTAAAAACTCATCAATAGCCACAACAATTCGAGAGGGGCTGGGAACTCATCAGCCCCAGGCCTGCCGGAACAGCCAGGTTTTAACAGCTTTGCGGAAAGCCTGAAGGGTGGCGAGGGTCCGAATCTCCACAGGGAGATTGTTCCAAAGACCAGCTGCCCGGCGCACATGCGTGCTGGAAACCAGAAGAGCAGCTGGTGCCGCCGTCCATGGCCACAGTGAGGGCTCTGCGTGCCACCTCTGGCACCGCATGCCATCACGGCTATAGGACCCTCTGGGATCTCCTCAAATAATTAATATTTTATATAACTATATGCTTATATCTTCAACCTTATTTATTTTTTAATTAAATGTCACATGAGGCACCTAGACCTTTTAAAAAGTGTTACCATGACTTGGCACCAGTTTTTTTTGTTTTTACCCCTTAGCTTTTTAAATAGTTTTACTTACTTTTTTTTTTGTACCTAACTTACCTTCTGTATGTTAATTTTCATTTCTGACTGGGAGCCACTCAGAGTTTGTTATCAGAGGGGCAGCTGTATAAATGTTTCAGATCAATAAGTAATAACCAGCAGATTATTGATAGGAATGGTAGAAATGTCAGGTGATATTGCCTTTCTCTGTTCTGTTTGTTTACTTCGAGTAGTAGGCCATTGCTTCTACAATTCAGAAACAACAGAGCTCTGATTAGTGCAGAAACCTTTAGGCAGGGAAAAGAGATGAGATATGCTTTCCTATTTATTTTTTGATTATTAGTTTATTTATTTATGAAAAATTATATTGGTTTTCAATGTATCTGAAATAGGCTTGGTAGGAATTCTGGAGATCAATAATCCAATCTTTTGGTTAATTTTATGTGTTTGTATGTGTGTACTATGTACGTACATACATACATATACATAGATATATTTATACACACACTATATATATATACACACACACATGCATATATACATATATAGGGATGTGGTGGCTCCGTGGCTAAGACACTGAGCTTGTCGATCAGAAAGGTCGACAGTTGGGCAGTTTGAATCCCTAGCGCCACATAACTGAGTGAGCTCCTGTTACTTGTCCAGCTTCTGCCAACCTAACAGTTCAAAAGGACGTAAAAAATGCAAGTAGAAAAATGGGAACCACCTTTGGTGGGAAGGGTTGAGTCATGCTGGCCACATGACACGGAGACGTCTTCAGACAGCGCTGATATGTGCGAGGGGAACCTTTACCTTTATCTTACACACACACACACACACACACACACACATATACATACATACACACACACACCGTATTTTTTGGAGTATAAGACACACCAAGGTTTTGAAGAGGCAAATTTTAAAAAAAGTAGGTAGGTAGATAGGGAGGGAGGGAGAGAAATATAGTAGGTAGGTAAGGAGAGAGAGAGAGTAGGTAGGTAGGTAGGTATGTAGGTAGGTAGATAGAAGGAGAGAGAGAAATACAATAGGTAGGGAGACAGTGAGAGTAGGTAGGTAGGTAGGGAGAGAGATATAGAGAGAAATACGGAAGATAGGGGAAGAGAGAGAGGGATAGAGAGTAGGTAGGTAGGTAGGTAGGTAGGTAGGTAGGTAGGTAGGTAGGTAGGTAGATGTTTCCAGGTGTATTTATCCATGTCCTGGAGAAGGAAATTACTGACAACCTGCAACACCTGAGACTTGTTTCTGCTGGTACAGCACTTGATCAATGTAATTCTCATCAATCACTCTAACTAAAGAGCTTTCCGAAAGGAAAAAAAAAAGTTTTTGCATTCTGCAAACCTCCCCAAAATGGCCCATTTTCCGTGAAAAGGGGCTCTTTTTTTTGTCAAAAAAATTACATGCATAGCATTATGGAGGCTTAAAGAGTGCTGCTGGGGGAGGGCAAAAACAACCCATTTTTTTGCTCATTTCTGTCCTCCCAGCCCCCAGGAACTCTCTGAAAACCTCCATAAGGCTATGCACAGCGGGGCTTTGGGAGGCAAAAAAATGCTCTATTTGATGTATAAGACACACCCAGATTTTCAGCCTCTTTTTTGAGGAAAAAAGGTGCATCTTATACTCCAAAAATACGGTACATATACATGCAGAACAGTACATTAAAAAAATGAATACAGATATAAAAGACTATATTAGTAAACATTCTATTTACTATAAATATGTCTTTAAAGGATAATTAGTCAAAGTAATTTGTAAAGTAAGAGACTTCATGGTGATTAGCTAGATGGGTAAACAGATGCTCCATGCTTAATGGCAAAACACCTCTTCCTTGTGTACCAGAATGGGGAAAACTGCTGCCTTAGCATCTTGCAAAGTATTCAGTAGTATCTTTTTACTGCTTGTCAGGGGGGGAAATGAGGATGAGCATTTAATCTCATTTCATGGACACTTCCTGCTCCTCTAGTACTGTATGTATTCCCACACACCTTATAAAAATGCCGGTGTTCATTGCCAAACCAGTGACAAGAATATGGGCTTGCTAGCTGTAGATCTAGGAGACCGAAAGTGGCTAAGAAGACAAACATTAATAAGACAGGAACTTGCATTGGGGACTGGAGTGCGTTAAATTATTTTCAGTAAACACTGTAATGGCAAGTTGCTTAACTGTTATATAGACAGAAGTGGAGAATTGACAGGTGTTGTCTATTGCACGATTATTAGATGAGAAAAAACAAGGTATTGAATTTTGGAGAAAGTCACACGTGAATTCCCTCAAGCCTTGAGCTCTGGATCTGTTTTGTATGCAAAATACAGGATCAGTTGATCAGACCCTAATGCTAGGAAGGTGAGAGATTTGAGTTGGGAGAAAGGAAGCTCTTTTCATATTGTGTTAGTAGGAAAGAGAGACCCAAACCAACTGGCCCATCACTCAGCTTTTGGCAGCTTTTATATTTGCGATTGAAAGGAACATTACCAAATGGATACAAAGGCAAACCTTTTGGAAATCAAAAATAACCTCAAATTCTTCCAATGCACACCAGTGGATCCCCATCCTTTTGGACACCATGGATCGGTTCTGCGAAAAGAGATTTTTCCAGGAACTGTAGGAGATCTGGTTTTGCTTGCTGCCTGCATCTTGCGGATGGGGCCTTCGCCTCTTTGTGCGGCCCGGTTTCTGACAGTCCATGTACCTGGGGTTGGGGACCCCTGCTTTGAGCTCTTTAAAAACAAGGGTGCCATGCCCTTTAAAAAAAAAGTCTTAAAAATAAACCTGTCTTCCACTCACAGACTGTTGACTTCTCCTGTTTTGTTTTACTGATAGCAGGCCCATGCAGGGGCTCCAGTAACGGGAACTGTCAATGCCATAGAAATCGAAGCGTTTAAGAGACAGCAAGCTCTTACATCAGCAGGTATGGCCTCCTCCTCTTCCTCCTCTTCCTCCTCCTCCTCTTCCTCCAGAACTTTTATGGTCCCTTTAGGCTCTCAACCCAAAGATGGTTCCGATTTGCCCTTCTTTAAAACCGCTCTCCTCTCCACTTCATCAGGGCGCCAACCCATTCGGCCAATCTCTTGGGATGGAAAGTCCCAGGATGTCAGGTTCTCCGCCAGCAGCCACATTTGAGAAACGACCGCGCCACCCTTTCACAGCATTTATTTTTTAAAAAAGAAAGAAAGAAAAAAAACCCCCAGCAACATCAAAATATTTCTAAACTCTCTTTTAAGGGCCAAAACTCTCACCTGGTAGGCTCGTAGGTATCAGTAGCAATAGAACTCAGACTTATATACCTCTTTATAGTGCTTTCCAGCCCGCTTTAAGCGGTTTACAGAGTCAGCCTCTTGCCCCCAACAATCTGGGTCCTCATTTTACCCATCTCGGAAGGATGGAAGGCAGAGTCAACTTTGAGCCTGGTGAGATTCGAACTGCCAAATTGCAGGCAGCCGGCAGTCAGCAGAAGTTGCCTGCAGTACTGCCCTCTAACCACTGAGCTGCGGCGGCTCATAATATCAACATTTAAACCTCCCAGGGAGTGCCGTTGCCAATCGTATAACCTGACACCCCCTCCTCCTCCTCCCCCTTGTGCACTTATAAATGGAATTTGAATATCACCAGATTCGTCTAAGAGACCCCGAATTGAAGTGGGCCGTCATGGGATGGTTTTTCAGCATCCAGGCGTGGCTTCAGGAGTCCCTCTTCAACAGCTCATGCCAACTGCACAAGGTACTGTGTTGCCACATGCCAGCCGCAGATTAATTTAGCAAAGGGGCTGGGGGCGAGGGAGCAGAAGCCTGATAAGAGGGTTTTTTTATTTAAAAAATTAATTTTGAGCTCTCTGGTTCTGCACCCCCACCCCCACCCCCTTGCAAATTAATGTTTGGCGTGAAGTGGCTTGTTCATGTCAAAAAGAGCCGGGAAATATGAGCTCGAGCGATGCATGCGGGCATGGAAGGAAAATAAAAACCCACCACTCTGCACGTTGAGACCAAAATAATTAGTTCTGGAACCCCAGTAGTTATTATTTATTTTCGCTCCTCTTTTTTTCTTTTCAACGGACCTTAGTACCTCCATTCCTCCTTCGTGTTCGGTTTTCGTTTTGCAGCTGCCTGTCGACCCTTCTTAAGCCGTAGGGCATTTCATGTAGCCCTTCCCTTCATCGCGAGGTTTGCTTTCTGCGAGTCGAGTCCCTACGCCCACTCTTCCTCATCCGGCAACACGCTCAAGTTGTGTCATGCGTGGTCTCTCTGGCTGGGATACCCCAGGGACTTTGAATTTGCCGGTTGGTGAAGAACGGTGGTTTATTTAACTGACCGAGTTTATGCATATTTATGGTTTATTTCCTTGAGTTGGCCAAGTAAGTAAAATAGACGAACACTTCACATCTTTGCTCTGCCCTGGCATGCCACCCTTATAGTTTTTTGATCCTTTGGCTCCCTTATCCCAAAGGTGCTTTTTTTGCCCCAAGAGGCAACTGGACTTTCTGGTTTTTCTTGGAAGACGTTTCACTTCTCATCAAAAAAGCTTCTTCAGCTTTGACTGGATGGTGAGGAAGGGAAGGATTTAAAATTCCTTGCAGACAGTTGGTCATTTTCATCCTTTAAGAGAGTCATTGAGGCCACCTGGAGGTTTATCTGTGTCATCAGGAGGGATATGACATCATCATCTATCTCCAGTCTACACCACAGTCCTTTCAAGAGATCCAAGAAAAATAGACCAACAGATGAAATAGGAAATGATAATCTGGTTTAACTTTGAAGGGGCAATTAGTGCTACTGTTTATGTATTAAGAAAATAAGTTTAAGATGGAAAATATGGAAAGAGGATCATAGGGCTGAAATTGGAAAAAGAATATGATGTAAAATGGATTATACATATAGTAGTATAGACTTTATTGTCATTGTACAAAATAAATACAACGAAATTGGTTTTAGCCTCACTGGTGCAATAACATTTATTAACCACATTTATATGTCGCCCAATCCCGAAGGACTCCGGGCGGCAACAAACACAAACAACACAAGTAGTATAAAGAACAATCCCAGTGCAAGTAATTAGGGGAAGAGAAAAAAGAAAAGAAAGAAAAAGAAAAACTAGTCATATGTTTCCACCCGTGAGTGATTGTGGTAGTGTTTAAGAGTCTGACAGCACAAGAAGAGAGAGAGAGGGAGGGATGGATGGATGGATGGATGGATGGATGGATGGATGGATGGATAGATAGATAGATAGATGAGAGATAGATGTTGGATGGATGGATGGATGGATGGATGGATAGATGATGGATGGATGGATAGATAGATGTTGGATGGATGGATGGATGTCAGATGGATGGATAGATGTTGGATGGATGGATGGATAGATAGATGAGAGATAGATGTTGGTTGGTTGGATGGATGGATGGATGGATGGATGGATGGATGGATAGATGATGGATGGATGGATAGATAGAT